TTATGATATTTTTTATCAGAATTTTTAATTGTCAGGATTTTTAACTGTCAGATTTTTGTCTGTCAGGATTTTTTTGTCAGGATTATAACCTGTCAGAATTTTGCTTGATGGGATTTTGACCCAACCCACATGATACAGTAGAAGTCACAACAGTTAATTTACTTAACCTTAACCACACACTGTGTGTTACTGCAATAGTGATAACATAATTTTTATATAAAACATGATAGACTACCTAGTTGACCAAGTCCTCAGCCTTCCACCACCCATCACCATTTTTGCCAAGATATGTGATAACACAGGCTTTTCTAAGAAGCTCATCTGATGGTTGCATTTCATCAGGAAGTACAAGTCGACCACGAACATCAGTTAAAAATTCGCTAACATGAATTGAACGGCCTTGATCTTTTTTTCGTAAAGGTTGTTCACCATCAGGAATCCAAAGGTATCAACTTCCATCATAAGCAGAAAAAATGCATTCATCATGTGTAACAAGAATAAGGGGTTGTATATTGCTATCTGACCAAGTTTCTACATCCATATTATCTCTCGAAAATACTGGCATTCTATGCTCAAGTTCACTCATTCGTCTCAAAATTATATTCCGATAGGCTACTACATCTTCTCTCTCATGTCTATCTACGTAAACACCTTTTTGTACTCTTTCGTATATGTACCCAAGCTCTTTTAAATAATTTTTGGCAGTATTAAGGGAGATGGTTGGAGGTGGTGCAAATCCGAGCCCTGGTAGGATGACCTCATTCATTTGTAATATGATCATACGTGGTATAATATCCCACTTATTTTCCTGAACATACAATTTTATTTGAAGAAAAATATCTTCATCCTAAAGAAAGCTCCATGTTTTAGCGTGGTGTCCTCGGCAAGAATAGGGAATCTGATGTATCATAATATACTTATGTGCCCAAGTTCGAATGCATCTGCATGATACACACCTTTTTCTGCTGCATCAGAGATTATTTTACTTGCTTCCATTGTTTGGTGGTTATTTTTTATTAGCTGAAGATAAAAATGGATACTACAAAGACGTACCTAAACTTCACTGTTTACATTTTCTTTTTTGATATCTAACGTTAAATTTTCAAGAGCAGCTGTAATTTTTTTACGCCAATTACAGATCTCAATTTCATCTTCTGAAAGTCTCCCAGCATCTTCCTCATTGACTTCCTCATCACTTCCTCCAATTGACCTTTGTCTTCCAACTGTTTATCATATGATTCTACTTCACCAGCTTCTTGATGAGATTTTTCTTGGTTCCAAAAGGTATGCAGTGGAGGGGTTCCTTTTGCTGCTTCATGCTGTTGCTGTCTTTTTCTTCTTTTGGTGCGAACCGAGTTTCCTAGATAGTGAAGTCTACGAGGTTAGCTAGAATCATGTTTCTGGTAATATTTATTTACTGCATCTTGAAGTTTTTTTACGATATTTTCAGCATTATCATTTTCAATTGGCTCATTATAAGCAGAAAGATTGCTGTCATTATCATCATCTTCTAGTTCAGTGTTATTACTATAATGATCATATTGTTTGACTGCTGCTTGAAGTTGTTTTATAATGCTTGCAGCATTATCATTCTCAACCGCCTCATCATAAACAGAAATATTATCAGTATTATCAGAGTTTTCTGCTTCAGAGTTATTGGCATTGGTATTATACTTATGCGCTTTCGCTTTATAAGCCTTCTTTGCTTTTTTTTGATGGGTTGTTGGACGTAGCATATTGAATTAATACTAACAAAAAATTATTATTTAAAACAGCTTCCACGCTTATAATTACTTTATTAGAGAAATTTAAGAAATTATTTTTGATCCAATTGTCAGTTATTTATTTCATTATTTTTAAATATATTACTAAAAAAAATTCTATCTCTTTCATCAATCTTATCTATTAAGGCATATTATAGTTATAGATGGGTGACGAAATTATTTTCGCAATGACGAAATTGACAAAATTATTTTCATAGTGCCAAAATTGACAAAATACTTATTTCGTCAAATTTCATCAATTTCGTCACCCATCACTAATTATGGTTATTTTCATTACTTTCTTTTTTTATTATAAACATTTAGTTTCTTATCATTATCTTTTTTTCTCATGAATTTGAAAGTTTAGCATGCATCTTTCACACACATTACCCTTCTTATTATTTCATTTTAGCTACGGTTTAATTGCTTTACTTTTTTGGTTGAAATTCTGAATGCGTTATATGCAGGTCTGTTACCGGTATAACTGTTAGTGAGAACAACTGAAAAGTTGTTATAATATATCCAACAGGTGCGTATGTAATTTTGAATTAATTCAAAAAGATATCAATCTTGGTACTTATGAAGGTGGAAAACCCTCTAATCTTTACAGCATTATTCTTAGAGTTATTTTAGGAGTAAATAACTACATTAAAATTTTATTTATTTATTAATTTATTTATTTATTATTTTAGGGTAAGGAAAGTTTTAATCTTTAATCTTTAAAGAAATGCCACTTTTTGTACCGTACTGTACTGGTCATGAATGGATATATTGAGATATCTGACACATTAGATGCATTAGATAGATAATTGGTTATATCAATACCACCAAAATTAATGAATAATAATATCCTGTTTTATATATAAACAGAATCTTTGTTCTCACCGCTACCTGATGTACCAGGATATTATTATTACCGCTTAGCCGTCATATAGCCACATTTTCAA